AAGAGTGTGTGAGGGGGAGGGGCGGGTTGTGCTGCGATCAGTGTGCGTGCGTGCGGGGGGTGTCACTGGGCACGTTTGTGTGTGTAGGGGGTGGTGTGTGGGGGGTGTCAGTGGGACTGTGCAGGGGTGTGGGGAGGGGTGTTGGTGTCCGGATCAGTGTCAACGTGGGTGTATGTATGTGTGGGGGTGTCAGTGTGTGTGGGAGGGGTGTCAGTGTAGGGGGTATGCGAGGCTGTGTGGGAGGGTGTCAGCGTGGGTGCAGGAGTGGGGGGCACAGATAACCTTGTGGTTATCTGTGGGGTTGCATTTTGAGGGGTGTTCAGTGCACTGAATAATAAGAGCTGTCAGTTTGCAGGAACAAGAGGGGCATGCATACAGGATGCTGGAGCTAACTCCCCTCCCAGCTGCAAAGGGACCAGGCCAGCCAGTAACTTTTGAGGGCAGCACATTGAACTTTGACTCTAGCCCTGACGAGTCGGTGAGCAGATTGCCATATTGTATCATGGAGACCTACTGCTTGGCATGTTTGGAAGGGGAGGGTTGGAGGTTGTGGGGAAGAGAGATGATTCGGCCTTTATACAAGCAATGAACTCCACCAAAGTTATGGCAAAGGATTTTTAAAAATGCAAGTAGCAGAACTCATCAGGTTTCAATGCATAAAACAACTAAGTAGGAGAAATCCTGCCTATTGGCACATTATCCTACAGACCACTCCAAGTTGTACGGTGGTGGTTTGTGTGTGCACTGCCCCCTTTAACCTAAATATCTGGTTCTGACTATTATTGGAAGCGAAATACAAGAGTAGAGTTACAAATGGGGTAGTTGAACCTGCATGGCAATTCCTGTATACAACTTCCAGCACAGTCAGTCAGAAGGCAGGATACATATGCACCTCTATAGACTAAATAATATATAGCACAAGCTTTTGTGGGCCCTCAGTCAGCATCATTTATAGAGCACGGGGTTTTTCCCAGACAAATTCCTTCCCCTGGCAGGTCACACTCTAGGGCAGATTGTATCATGAATAGCGAGGGGGTGGGGAATGATTAGGGATAGAGGAACCGCCCCTCAATGGCTGTTATAGTCTCAACAGCCTATTTACACTGTGAACTCTAAAACTCAAATGACTCATTGCTGTGGCTATTTATCAATTATCAGGATTCAGCAGTTTGGAATTCACGCACAGAGACAAGACAGAGCAGTCAGTACTGAATGGTGAGGTGATAAATACAGGAATGATGTGGGTAAGGAGTCAGAAAAGAGCAATGGGGGAGAGTTTGGGGCTGGCATGAAAAGTTAAAGGGTATTTTTGCTCCCCTCTCAGTCCCTACTTTAGCAGTAGAACAGGATTCAATGTAAACCCTGGTTCACCAAATATTGACAGACCATAGAGCCAGAAGGAGATACTTGGCAAATCCCCAAGGAGGTAAGGCTGACATTCTGAATTTTCCACGTTATATATGGCTTCCCTCCCACTGTCCTGTGGACAGACAAGTGACAGTATCATGTCCTACTCGGTTTGCAAGTTTCATAATCATCACTTACACAGAAAGTTCACCTAGACACTGGAAGTCTGAGAATAGGGTATATCAACAACACTTCTCAACCCCGCTCATTCTTCTCCATGAGATGGTACAACAACAGTCCTCTGTTCAAAACGTACCACGTATAGAGTATTTCTGCTCTCTATGCTATACAGTCCTACACCCTGTAGACATAGGTCCTCTCAGCCCAGAAAACAGCTTGTGTTTCTTCCTCAAACTAACGGATCCATCTGCAGCCCAAATGCTGTTATTTAAATGTTTGCCTATCTAAGGAGGCCTGCTGTCATCCCATCCTTCCCCAAACTGAATGCCTCAGGATACATCAGGAATTTTTCCTCCTCAACAAGGAAGAGTCACTCCCTCCTCTGGCTGGGACACATTTGCAATTCCAAACAATCATCACTGCCCTATTTTTTAATATTAGGGCTGTAAACAGCTCATAGTTCATTTACAACTTGTCCACTCTGCAAACCAGTGGCAACCCAACAAACTTTGTTTTCTCTTAGTGCAAAGCACTCTTTGGGCTTTATGTAAATAATGGCCACCAATACAAAGATTGTTGCTGCTATCTCCAGTCTACTAGTTGTCCACCAAGGAGATCTGAAAGATTCTCTGAAGCTCCTCAATTAATACCAGATATTTTGCACATACACACACTCCCCCTATACCTTAACAGCTCTGTCTTCTGACTGATCCAGTTCACTTGATAGTCTATAACACACATAAATGGATAACCATCAACTTCCTGTTTCTATGCCACAACCACATACCCACATGCCCATCACTGTCTTCTTTAGCTATCATAATAATGCCACACTGTCTCTGCTCCCTCCTTCTTGCCCTTCCCATCCTAGTCCCCACCACCACAACCCCTCTGTTTCTTTCCCAGTCTTTAATCTCCATCATCTTTATTTGCCTCTTCTTTGTTGCTCTTTCCACTCTCCCCCACTTCATCACTATCATCTTCTTTCTTCTTGTTGTAGTTATTGTCTCTCTGGGGGTCTTGTTCCTGAACAGTCTGTTCCAGTTTCTTCTCTTCCATATGATCCCTCCTGTCTCCTCCCTGTCATCTTTTACTGTCTTCCTGTAAGCAGCCTTGCATCTCACTCAGTCCCATTATGATGCAGTCCTCAACTGAGAGGTCTGTGTTCCTCTACATGAGCAGGTTCCTGGCCTTCCACATGTTGTTTCTGAAGCAGGACATGAACTGGTTCAAGTGGTTTGTTGGGGCCCCTTTCTGCTGGGTTATGTGTCCAAACAGCATTGCCACTCTGGTCAGGATCTTGACCGCTGTCATCATCATGAGGAGTATAATTACTCTCCTCCACACCCCCCTGGCAGTACCAGAGGAGATGGTCAATTGTCTCCTCTTTCCACCAGCAGGTTTGCTTGGGGCAAGTTAAAGAGCCTCTCTACCCCTCTCTTAGTCTTAGTGCCTGCATAAGGAGTGCCCAGTGGGCTACCTGCCAGTTCAAGTCCCTCTGTTCTTTCTGCAGGTCCTTGTGGAAGATTCATTCCCATACAGTTTGGCAGATGTTGCCGGGTATTGGGTCCATGGGCGATAGCCTGTTCCATGCCCTTACCACCTCCTGGATTGTATGGTGCTTCATTAGGGTCACTGGGGCCTCATTGCGCAGTTTGCATTTGCTCCAGAAGCACCCCAGGACTCTGTAGAACCATGGCAGCTCCAAGGTCTGGGCATGCGTTGGGGGGTTTGTAGACCTCCCAATATCGCAGCAGGTGCCCTGCAAATTATCTTATGAAGCAGGCTGTTTTGGATTCTGCCCCAGTTGCCAATCTGCAGATACTTGGCTCAGAGGAACAGAAAAACATCAGGCATTCCTCAGCCCCCAGTCCATTTAGTCTTATACAGCTTGGTCCTTGCAACCTTTTCCTATCTAGAGTTCTAAAAGGAGATGCGAATGACTCTTTGAATTCTATGGATGGTTTGCTCCAAGGGGAGGAAGACCAGTATGGTATACAGAAGCACTGGTGGCAACACTGCCCTCATGACTGCCATGTACGCCCCCTGCCCCATCATTGACAGACAGCACATGTGCCAGTTCCAGTCTCTGTTTGACTTTGGCCTCAGTCTTTCCCATACTGATGGTTCTTTATAAAGAAGAATGTCAGGTGTTTCATGACTAACCAGGTAAAGGGAGCTGTTTAGCTTTTACTCCTGACAAAAGAGTAGCTTCACCAGATTAACTAAGAGCAAGTATAGTGACCAATACAGTGTATAGTCGTGTGACAGACTAATTAATCACCCTGCAAATATGACACTTTAGAAAATACCAGAACTGAATCCAGGAAGTCTGGGTTGCCAGTTAACCACAAAGCAACAAATCTAACATTGCTTAAGTCACGTGCTAGAGTGCTTCTTTCAGAGATGATCTTGCATCAAAACCCAGCAGCCTTTGAAGAAATAAGTACTGGTGGCTTACTCTTCTTCACTCCTATATGCAAGGAAGAAGAACAACAGCCTGCACTCTGGATGGAGCCCAAACTATTATCACTATAAAGGACCTCCTCAAAACAATCTGTGCATCTGACCATTCTTTTTTTTCAGAGATATTCCTTAGTTATGTCCAAACAAACTAGCAATCTAAATACGTTGTGAGAAGCAACATTTTCCTCACAATTTTTCCAGACTATCAGCCAGGACAATACTCCAACCCTAAATAAGTGATAGTAAACATAAGAAACTAGAGCGTCAGAATTGTCCATTTATATTAGAGAACTTAAGGGTTTTATTTGCAACTTGCTAGGAATGCAAAAACCACATCTAGGGTAGATAGGAGTTTTCACACTGGTCACTCAAAAAAATCATATTCACAAACCTAACACTTGCCTGATCTTATATTTTAGTTGATTAGAATTTGTTTGGCTTAGTTCATTATTGGTGGTATTAACATTGCACGAGAATTATAGCCCTTCATGAGCTAGGCCCCATAATACTAGAAATAAGATTTTTTCTTGTAAAAAGTTTATATACTTACTTCATAATGAAAAAACACAGAGAGGAAAACCTAGCAAAAAAACAATGGTTTTTTTTGTTTCTGTCAGTCCATTATTAGCATCTGACAGAGTAGGCTGTTACCTACAAATGCTCGTGCGTCTCTAAACCAGATAATCATTAAGGGGCCAGCCTACTCTACCTTCCTAAGGACAAGAAAAAGGAATCCTTGAAACATTTAATAATAAGCAGCAATCACATCATGTCCCCCATTTAGACAGTGTCAAATGTTATATAGGCATTCTGGCACAGATGAGTTTTGAGGAGAAATTTGTACAAGGTCAGTATACTGGCTTTTTACAGAACTTAATATATACCCATAAACTGAATTCTGGTATATGCAGCCTCAGAGTATTGGAAGGCTTTTCCCCATCATGGTTGTGTTTGATTTTAAGATAATGAACTTAGTATAGTTCAACATGAATCATAAGTGCTAATTAATAAAAAAAAAATTAATGATTTGGTGTTGATACATTCAAGCTGTTAGTAAAAGTCCTATACCCTGCCAAAATGAAGTCCTATTTCATTTTGGTCTCAACACAGCACAATTTTCTCAAATTGCATTTCAATGATATTTAAATTTTAGAGAGCCTTTTTCTGTAACTATTCAATCTTATTCAATAAATATTGAATATTAAACTGTTCAATAAATATTGCCAACATGAATGCTAGAATAAAGCTTAATAATACTGAAAGTTGGTTGGCTTACAGATGGCAACTTCTTCAATTGCATGCTGACACTTGCGAGACAAAATGAAGCTTTTTAGATATGTACATTAGAGCTGTGTGAAGCTTTGGTCCCTGATCCGATTCAGCTGAGATGTGGCCCGATTCAGTGGCCAAATCTCTGAATCCAAATAGAATCAGAGGACCCTTTAATCCGGGGGCGGGCAATTTGATTTGGGCAGAGGGCCACTTACCCAGTTTTGTCAAACTGTCGAGGGCCACATGGGTAGCCTGGCCCCTTGACAGGTGCCCTCTGGTCACTATCTTGGGACCAATGTCCCAGGGCCAGTACTGGTGGGGCCCAAAGCGAAGGACAGGCTGGCAGGGTGCAGCGTGCAGCCCCAACCCCCTGCTCTCTGGCAGGGAAGGAGCTGGTGCTGAGCGCAGGGAAAAACAGCCCCTCACCTGCCCCATGGCCCGCGCTCCCTGCTGCAGCCACTCGCAGCCCATGCGGGGCTGTCCTGAGCAGACACAGGCAATAAAAATAAACCTGAAAAATAAACCCATGGTGAAGCAAAAGGAAAGGATAGGAAAATCTGAGCATCCTCCCTTTATATATGGGTTATTTCACTACAGCATGGGGCCCCCTCCCAGCTCTGGGCTCACCCGTCAGGACTGCACACGGTGGCAGCAGCTGCAGCCCCCCCGCTTGCCGCGCTGGGCAGTGTTTGCTGCTGCTGCCCGCCCTGAGCTCACGCACTGGGCAGCATAGGGGTGGCGGTGGCAAACACTGGTGCGGCAAGCGGGGGGCTGCAGCTGCACTGGAGCCGGTGCAGGGCCAGGCTGGCAGCAGGGGCGGGTTACAAGCTGGTGCTGAACATGGAGGGGAAAAGCGGCTCCCCACCCACCCCATGGCTGGCGCCCCGCACTGCAGCCACTGCAAGCCTGCGTGGGACTGCCAATTTTTGCAGCACTTCTTTGTATATTATGAGAAGTCACAACTCGCATTCAGAGAAAGTTTGCTGGCATTACCACTGAATATATTTTTCCTTTAAAGGAGACTTCACAGCTTTCTTTTTTTTTCACATCTGCAGCCAGCCCCTCTTATAAAAGAGGCACCATGGAAATGTTTATGCTTCCTCAATGGTCATACTGTGTTAGAAGTCCCACTCAGACAATTTAAAGATTCAAATGAATTTCTACACTTGAAAAAATGTAGTTTATAGGGCAGCATTCGATACAGGCTTTGTTGTTTCTCATTGTCTGTAGATCAATTTTTTCTTTCCAATTACCAACCCTGAAAATTCAACTTGGCACTTGAAAATTGAGTCAGGTTCTTTCTATCGTATACTGTTCTTAATCACCCTGCCTTACCTTCAACCTATCAGCAATAATGGTTCTGAAGGTCCAATGAAGCCTTCAATGACATCAACACAACTGACTGGCTTCCTGGTCTGCATAAGTGTAATTTAGTACACGTGTAATTAGAATGTAATTACAAATTCTGTTGATAATGCAGGAAAAAATTGAAACCTGATGTAACTGAGCCAGCAGGAGTAACAAACTGATAAACATTTGGTTTTGTTACCAGCTTTGACTGAAAATACCCAGGATGCAGTCTGAATTAAAAAGTAATATTTAACACAGTGTGGCAGGGCACTGTTTGTGCCTGCCACTTTAAGGGCCAGAAGGCAGCAGCCAGCAGGTGCCTGATGAGGGAAGCCATTTTGGATCTGGGGCTGCCCATATAAACAGGGCAGCTCTGATGCTAGAGGTCAGGCAATAACATTGCCTGGCTGCAGAGTTGCTGGTGTTATCTGATGGTAAGGGAGGAGCTGTAGGGGATGGTACGGAGGCTCCTGGTCCTGGATACAACCTAAAACTGCACCCTGCTAGGACTGGGTGGCCTGGTGGGGCTCTCAGTGGTGCAGGAGCCTCCAGGAAATGCCAGGCCAGTTACCACCCTGGTGAAAGGTGCGTCAGGGTGCCTTAACCCCTAGGCCCCATGATTGGGTGGGTTACCCCTTTGTTTGGAGGGCCCAGAGGGTGGACCCTCAGAGAGAAAAAGGGCCATAGACTTAATGCCTGTCTTGACTTCCCCTGACTGGTCCATGCTGGGGCCAGGACCGGATGGGTTGAAGGGCCAGGGGCCCACTGCAAGGAATGCCCAAGAGCTGAGGGCCTGGGGTTCCGACTGGCCTGGAGGTGGGCCAGGGCTAGTGAGCCACAGGTCCCGGGGGGACCACACCCAGAAGGGGAAGTGGTTCAGGGAGCTATGTTGCCTAATATGAAGGCAGATGAGACTGCCTGATGAAAGGATTCCAGGTGGGGTTCAATCAGGAGGATTCTGGGGCCCAGTG